TACTAGTTTGGCTAAATTATATAAGAAAAGGAGAAACATGGTACAAAATGAGGGTGGAAAATAGGTAGGGTCTAGATAATGTAGGAATTGAAAAGTAGGGTAAAGGTTTGAAGTAGTAGAGATAGAGATAGCAAAACTACTTAGGAACTTTTGTAGAATTTCAGGAAAGATGAAGAATGAAACCATTAAAGTAGTAGTAATTGAAATGCAAAGAAGTGCACTGATTCTGGATATATTTTGGAGGTAAAGTACAGAATTTTACTGATTGATCACATGTATGAGATGAGGAAATGGGTGAATTATAGATGACATACAGATTTTCAAAGATCAAATGGGTGGATGGCTGCACTATTTACTAAGATGGAGATAATTGGGGAGGTATAGGTTTTGGCATGGGTTGAGAGTTGTTAAGATATGTTAAATTTGAGATGTCTAGTAGAATTCACACTGAAAATTCAGGTAGGTGGTTAGACATAAGATATGGTACCTCAATGGAAAGATCAAGCTAGACATATTAATTTTGAAGTAATTAAAACATAGATAATATTTTAAGCCATTGGATTAGATGAATTTACCAAAGGAAGGTTACAGATATAAAAGGTCAGGAACCATGACTTAGATCATTGTGACATCAAATGAGGGTGGCAAAACTACAAGTAGAAAGAAAACATGACAGTAGAGTCCTAGAAGTAAAGTGCATTTTTTTTTTTGGAAGAGAGAGACTATTTTAAATGCTGTTGGATAAGATGAGAAGATAAACCAGTGGATGTGGCCACAAGCAGATATGTGGTAATCTTGGAAAGAGCAGTTTCAGTAAAGTGATAGAGATGGAAGAGCCTAACTAAATGGTAGCTATCCACATGGAAGTTTATTAAAGAGACAGTCTGAATGTATACAAGCCCATAAAATACCCTGAAAGATTTTCTACTAAAATTAAAATCTCAACTGGTTTTCTTGCATTTTACTTATTTTCCATAAAAGATTCTCATGGAAAATAATACAGTTACTTCAGGGTTTTTTTATTCATTTACTTTAAAATTTATCCTCCAATACATTCTCATTTCTTTTTAAAATTTTTTTAATGTTTTATTTATTTCAGAGAGAGAAAGAGAGAGAGAGAGAGAGACAGCGTGAACAGGGGAGGGTCAGAAAGAGAGGGAGTCACAGACTCCGAAACAGTCTCCAGGCTCTGAGCTGGCAGTCAACACAGAGCCTGATGCGGGGCTCGAACCCACACACTGTGAGACCATGGCCTGAGCCAAAGTCGGATGCTTAACCGACTGAGCCACCCAGGTGCCCCTACATTCTCATTTCTTGTAATTCTTGTTGAACTAGTGACCACTCACTCATTGATTCAATCTACAAGATTTGCCCTTTAGCAAAGAAATTGTGAATTATTTTCAAGTCTCAAAGCTGACTTTTTGAGTCAGCTTGGAGAAGAACGGACTTAAAATCCAGGATTTTTGACGGAAGCTTTTTTAAAAAAGATTTGTAAATAAAAATAGGAAAATAAAAGAAGAGAAAAATGGAGATCTATACATAAAATTTTATTAGAAACCAAGGATAGAAAAAAACTTGGAATAAAAGGTATAGGAAAATCCCCACAAGACTAGAAGAGGAAGTAGAAATCCTTTGAAAGGAAATAAAAATAGGAAAACGGAGGAAGATGAGGAAGGGAAATTTTAATTAAGATGAATATTTAATTAAGATGAGAAGCTCAAGTTTAAGACTGAGCAATATCTACATGTGCTCTGAATTTAGCAGGACAGAGACCATCAGCCCTATCATGCTGAGACTTGACAATAAACATGTGAAAGCAGAGCATGCAGGTTGATGACCAGAAACCATGCAAATGAATTACACCCCAACCAAAGATCATAAAGAGCCAGCAATGGTGGACAACTTTGGGAAAAGGAGACCCTACATTCAAACCGAGATGCTTACATCTCCTTTACCTTACAGCAAGATTTTGGAGGAAGGGGGATGGAATAGGTGATCTCCTGGAGGAGAGAAAAGAAACTAAATTTACATTTCCTTTTGTTGTCTGATTGCTGATGCTAGTACTTTCATCACTATGTTAAACAACAATGGGGAGAGTGGTCATCCATGGTGTGTTCCTGATCTCAGGGTCAAAAGGAAATAAAAGGCATCAGAAATGGCAAAGAAGTCAAACTTTCACTTTTCACAGACAACATGATACTCTACATAGAAAACCCGACAGACTCCACCAGAAGGCTACTAGAACTGATCCATGAATTCAGCAAAGTCACAGGGTAGAAAATCAACGTACAGAAATTGGTTGCATTTTTGTACACCAATAATGAAGCAACAGAAAGAGAAATCAAGAAGCTGATCCCATTCACAATTGCACAAAAAAACATAAAATACCTCGGAATAAACCTAACCAAGGATACAAGAGATCTGTATGATGAAAACTATAGAAAACTGATGAAGGAAACTGAGGAAGACACAAAGAAATGGAAAAACATTCCATGCTTATGGGTCGAAAGAATAAATATAGTTAAAAGGTCATTACTATCCAAAGCAATCTACACATTCAATGAGATCCCAATCAAAACTGCACCAGCATTCTTCTCACAACTCGAAAAAAAAAAAAAAAAAAAAAAACTATCCTAAAATTTGTATGGAACCACAAAAGACCCCGAATAGCCAAAGTAATATCGAAGAAGAAAACCAAAACGGGAGGCATCATAATCACATACTTTAGTCTATACTACAAGGCTGTAGTCATCAAGATAGCATGGTATTGGCACAAAAACAGACACATAGACCAATGGAATAGAATAGAAAACTCAGAAATGGACCGACAAATGTATGCCCAAATAATCTTTGACAAAGCGGGAGAGTATCCAATGGAAAAAAAGACAGCCTCTTTAACAGATGGGGCTGGAAGACCTGGACATCAATGTGCAAATGAATGAAACTAGATCACTTGCTCATGCCATACACAAAAATAAACTCAAAATGGATAAAGGACCTGAATGTGAGACAGGAATCCATCAAACCCTAGAGGAGAAAGCAGGAAACAATCTCATTGACCTCAACCACAGCAATGTCTTACTTGACACATCCCCAAAGGCAAGGGAATCAAGAGCAAAAATGAACTACTGGGACTGCCTCAAGATAAAAAGCTTCTGCACGGCAAAGGAAACAATCAATAAAAATAATAGGTAAATGATGGAATGGGAGAAGATAGTTTCAAATGACATATCAGATAAAGGGCTAGTATCCAAAATCTATAAGGAACTCATCAAACTCCACACCTGAAAAATAATCCAGTGAATAAATGGGCAGAAGACATGAACAGATGCTTCTCCAAAGACTACATCCAGACTGCCAAGAGAAACATGAAAAGATGCTCAGTATCCCTCCTCATCAGGGAAATACAAATCAAAACTATACTGAGATACTACCTTATGCCTGTCAGAGTGGCTCAAATGAACAAATCAGGAGACTATAGATTCTGGTGAGGATGCGGAGAAACGGGCACCCTCCTACACTGTTGGTGGGAATGTAAACTGGTGCAGCCCCTCTGAAAAACAGTGTGGAGGTTCCTCAAAAAATTAACAGTAAAACTCCCCTATGACTCTGCCATAGCACTGCTAGGAATTGTCCCAAGGGATTCAGGAATGCTGATGCATAGGGGCACATGTACACCAATGTTCATAGCAGCACTTTCAACAATAGCCAAATCATGGAGGAAAGAGCCTGTGTCCATGAACTGACGAATGGATCAAGAAGATGTGGTTTATCTATACAATGGAATGCTACATGGCAATGAGAAAGAATTAAATCCCGGCCATTCGTAGCAACGTGGGTGGATCGAGGGTGTTATGCTGAGTGAAATAAGTCAGGCAGAGACAGATACCATATGTTTTCACTTATAAGTGAAACAGGAGAAACTTAACAGAGGGCCATGGGGGAGGAGAATGGGAAAAAATTAGTTGGGGAGAGGGAGGGAGGCAAACCATGAGACTATTGAATACTGAGAACAAACTGAGGGCTGATGGGTGTGGCAGAGAGGGGAAGGGGGGGTGATGGGCATGGAGGAGGGCACTTGTTGGGATGAGCACTGGCTGTTATATGGAAACCAACTTGACAATACACTATGAAAGAAAAGACAGAAGAAAATAAATTTACAGTGTATTTACTCCCAAAAAGAGCAAATTAACCTGAAAGAGACTGTTATAAACCAGAGGGATCTAGTTACTTTTAGCAAGTTAACTTTTTTCTGATTATTAGTAATAATGATGAATTATAAATAAGTTTACTTCAGATATATATTAAATAATTTAATTGCATATTTGAATCCTTGTATGTTATGTTTTTACCCTGCTATATCTAGATTTTTTTTTTAGTTTTTACTATATTTAGCAACTTCCTAGGAAATGTTTTTATATCTCATTAAAATTTGTCAATGTAGAAGTTTTAGTCAATTTACATTTTTTATTCCTTCTTAAGAATAGAACAGTTAGCCAGTCTTATAATATCCTCTTTACAAATAATTTTAAATATTTCCTGGGGCACCTGAGTGGCTCAGTCGGTTAAGCATCTGACTTTGGCTCAGGTCATGATCCCATGGTTGTTGAGCTTGCGCCCCACATCAGGCTCAATGCTGACAGCTCAGAGCCTGGACCCTGCTTCGGATTCTGTGTCTCCCTATTTCTCTGCCCCTCCCCAACTTGTGCTCTGTCTCTCTCTATCTCTCAAAAATGAATAAACATTAATTTTTTAAAAAAGTTTCCTTAAGATACAAGTCCATTCTCTGTTCCAGTCTCAATATTATTCTTAACTTTTTGACATTTGTTTTTCAATTCTTTTGAGTCCTTTTGAAATACACTCTTTCTTATGTGTTAGTCTCTATCTTGTCAATATTCCAATAAAATTGAACTATTCTTAAAGAAAATATAAATTCAAACTTTTAAAACATTTTTCATTGTAGTCCATTTTTTTCTAAAAATAAATCACAGTAAACATACCAAAGGAGCATATCTTGGTTTTAGAGGTGGAGGAGGCATGTTGCATTGACAGAGACGTTTGACCTTGGGTGATGGTAGTAAAGGCTCACAAGGAGGTAGTGGTGGTCTTTCTCTTGATGGGGGCACTCTGCCTATCCCTACATTTTTTCCTTTTTCTTTGAATGTAGTCTTTTTGGATGAAATTTTTATTTCTCTCTTTAGTTCCAGTGCTTCCTTCTTTGAATCTGTAGATGTGGCATCTGATTCATCAACTCCTTTATTTTTAGCCTCAAGTTTATATAGTGAGTCTTCAGATTCAGCATCTGAACTTTTGAATTGCTTCTTTGAGTCTTTCTTGGAAGATTCATCAGATTCTGCATTATTAGAGTCTATACCCTTCCTTGCATCCTGTTTCTTGGCATCTTTCTTTGAAACTTTGTTAGCCTTCTTTGAATCATACTTATCCTTCTTTGACTCCCAATCAGATTCAGTTTCAGTAGACTCTTCAGACTTCATTGCAGACTTAATTCTATCACCTTTCTTTGAATTTCTCTTATCTTTTTTTTTATCTTTTTTACCCTTTTTTGAATCCCATTCAGATTCAGAATCAGCATCAGTAGACACTGTATCCTTCTTGTTGGCCTTTTTCTTGTCATTTTCTTTTGCCTCTTTCTTAACCTGCTTTTCATCTTTCTTCCATTTTTTTGTCTCCAGTTCAGACTCAGACTCAGCATCAGTATACACTGCATCTCTCTTTCTATCTTTTTTCTTGTCATCTTTCTTTGAATCTTTCTTAGCCTTCTTTGAATCTTTCTTTGCATCCTTTGTTTCTAAAGATTCTACATCAGTAGACTCTGTGTCTCTTTTTGCATCCTTTTTCTTGTCATTTTTCTTTGAATCTTTTTTAGCCTTCTTTGAAGCTTTCTTTGCATGCTTTGAGTCTACAGATTCTGCATCAGTAGATTCAGTGTCTTTCTTTGCATCTTTCTTCTTGCCATCTTTTTCTGTACTTTTCTTATCTTTCTTTGCATTTTTCTTTGCATCTTTTGAATCTACAGATTCAGCATCAGAGCTCTTCTTTGCATCTTTTTTTGTGTCCTTCTTTGAAGACTTCTTTGAATTATTCTGAGAGTAATTCTTTAACCACATATCCAACTTCATGGATTCAGCACCAGACTCCTTTAAATACAATATGAAATCCATATTTGAACTATTTTTTAAACAAGTCTGTGATATGACATCAGAAGTGTTCTTTGAGCCCTTAGAATGCTTCTTTGCACATAGGTATTCATTATCTGTCTCGTTGGAATTCTTTGATTGGATCTTATCTTTTTTTGGATCCGTTGAGACTGTCTTAAAATCTCTGGATTCTGGATTCGTTTCCAATTTCGACTTTGAATCTTCAGATAGTTCACTTTTATGTGATAATTTTGATGGGCCTTTATCTGCTTTATTTCCTCTTTCAGGTTCCTCATCATTTACTGTTTTGGATTCTGGAGTTGTTTCATGTCGGTCTTTGTTTTTCTTGGAATTTCTCTGCAAAGTTCTTCCTTTTTTGTCATCGTTAGACTTTTTAGATTCTCCATTTTCAGGATTGGTTTTAGGAGTATAAGGATTTCTGAATGGAGCCTGTCTCCCGACCTTTAAGTAAACAGATGGCCTTTTGGAATTTTTGTTAAAAGAATGCTTTATCCCTATATGAGCTGGCTTCTCAACTTCGTTTAATTTTCTTTTGTCATGACTCTGAAAAGATTAGTTAGAATAATTTTAAGCATCTTTGAATGAGTTTTATTTATATGTATATTTTTTAGAAAGAGAAAAATAAAAGTGGGGGTGGGGAAGAGGGAGAAGGAGAGAATCTCAAGCAGACTCCATGACAAGCACAGAGTCCAACACATGGCTCAATCACACAACCATTTGATCATGACCTGAGCCAAAATCAGTCAGACTCTTAACCAGCTGAGGTCACCCAGGTGACCCGAATGAGTTATATCTTTTCAATATTGAAACATGAAAATAAGCTAGCTTTTCATTAACCATCTAGTTCAAATGGAAACAATTCAATATTTTGTGTGTGTTATGTATGTGAGATAACTCCATATTAGAAATAAAATTACTTTAGAAGAAATCTTAAGATTTTCTCAATGACATATGTAGGGATTGGAGAAGGCCCATAATGATCCATGATATTTAAGGGTCCATCCTCACAATAGATAGAGTTCTTTTTCAATTCCTGTATAGGAGAGATTATTTGAAACATTTTGTGCACCTTTCATCCCTAAGTTAGCTCAAATATAAGCTGATACCCATGAAGATTGTCATGAAAATTCTTATAACTGTAGGCTTCAGGCTTTAGTCTCACTTTCTACTGCTGCTTTCAAGGTGTCTGATCAAATCAAGAGACTGAGAGCCCTGGTGTGAATAATTTCCCAAAACAAGGACATAAATTGAAAAATATATTTGATCCCATTAATTTGTGTAGTGGTATTGTAATGCTTTTTTTTTAATTTCTAGCCCCAAATCTGTCAAGTCTAGTTTTCATAGTGGTCCAATACACTAATTTCACATTAGCTTTTATATTCCTTTAACTATTCAGTAGGGATTTCACCAATGAAATAGTCACATAGAATTAAAGGAGGACCATAACAAGAAGCATGGAACTTGGATCAATACAGATGCAGAAATGACATTCAAATAACTCCATTCATTGTAAGTCTGATTTGGGTGATGCTTTTAAAACATATTTTGATATCAATATGGGTGACCTCTGTAAGATAGTTTCCCCTTTTCCTAATTAATAAGGTAATGAGACTTTATATAAAAGAGGCAAAAGCTTGAATATCCCTGTATCTACAATCCTGAGTGCCAGGTTAAAGAAAATGGAGAGGTCTTGAAACCTTATCAACATTGGCTCATGTTCTAAAATTCAAATTTTAGATGTTTTTGCAGCTGGTAAACATTTCTTGAGAGATCTCACCAGTTGCAGCATTAGGTTTTGTAGGTTGCATAGCCTATTAGGTATATAATGCCTTTGAAAAGGAGAATCATATATAAATACAAGTATATCTGAGACAGATGCAGGTAATCTGTTGTACAGGGAATTATAAATTATAAAATATCTGCTTCCAAAAGGAATTAACATTCAAATTATATATATTTTATTTAAATCTGTATAATGTATAATCTTAGATTTAGTTGAAAATTACTTTTTCAATACTTACAGGAACTGAGATTTGTAATTCTGAAGGTCTTGATCTCTTTTTTCTACCTGGCTGGAGTGGTTTGGGAAATGTCAAAGTAAAGTAATCTTGATCCCATAATTTTCTGTTTGATTCACTGACTAAATGAATGAGGACAATACACAAGTTATAGTTAATAGCCAGACTTTCATCAGCACTGAAATATTTTTAAGTAAGAAATATATCGTTTAAATTAAACTAAGTTATGACTCAAAATATAGCTTCCTTCCTTGGATTCTTTAGTTTATTTACATATCAATTAAGGAAAATAAAAGTAATTTTCCAATTTAGCACTAAATTAAGTGTAAAATTATGCTTGTATGTTTATTTTCTAGATTAAACTGGTTTTCACAATTTTTTAATTTAATCATAATAGTTAATATAATAAAATAAGTAGGAGTGGAAAATAGAGAAAAATTTGCTGTTTCTTTTCAAACAGCATCCTATATATTTAGATTTATTTTCTTTATTTCGTTTTGGTTATCTTGCAGAAAATGTGACTTCTATAGTCCCCATAATAACACAATGCAGAACATAAAGTAGTCCCTAAAGTCTTCATTGATTAAATTTGATTATATATTTTAGGAAGCCTGTGACCTCAATGACATCCAAGCCATAAAATATCAGGGCCACAAATGCAAATACTTAATTTAGTTCAGGGAAACCTATCTAAATAATGGGATATACACCCTTGAGGGCATCCAGAATAGGTGATCAAACTATCTGGATGCTCTAACATCAAAAGAAGAAATGGTGAGGTAACTCAGAATAGTTTTCCTGTAGATAAGGAGACTAATGAGGGATGTGATCACTATATTCAAATATTTAAAGAACTGTGATATGAAAGTTTAGTAGTAATAGTAACAGTATAGCTGCAACTACTAAAACATATAGTGTTTACTATGTGTCAGACTGTTTTAAGCACGTTTGATTCACACAACAACCCTTTGAATTAGATAATATAATTTATAATTGCTTCCATTTTATAGATATATAAAATTGAATCACTGAGAGAGGTTAAATTGCTTCCCAAAACTCATAAAGTGGAAGGGCTAAGATTCAAAGACAGTTTGGCTCAGAGGCCATGGTCTTGATCACAATGTTAGAGACTTTTCCTATGTATTTCCTGAGGGGAGAATAGATACAGTGTGTAAAAACTGCATCAGTGCAGGCAGATATCAGCTCAAAATATAAGGAGAACGTTCCTTAAGTTTTGGCTGTTCAGCAAAATGGTATGTCCACTTTCATCATTTTGGCTATATATTTCTTTTCTACTTTGGGTTTTGTAATTTTGATTTTCAAACAAAAGGAAATTTATGCAGTTAAGATTGGTTGTTATAATGAGGAAGAACAAACTAAGTATTTCCTTTTTTCAGTTAGTTAGTTAGTTTGTTTGTTTAGAGAATCCCAAGCAGGCTCTGTTATGTCAGCACAGAGCCTGACATGGGGCTTGATCCCACAAACCATGGGATAATAACCTAAGCCGAAATCAAGAGTCAGATGCTTAACTGACTGAGCTACCCAAGCGCCCCAATATTTTCTTTTAAAATACCTAGTAGAGGGGCGCCTGGGTGGCTTAGTCGGTTAAGCGTCCGACTTTCGCTTAGGTCATGATCTCGCGGTTCGTGGGTTCGAGCCCCGCGTCGGGCTCTGTGCTGACTGCTGGCTCAGAGCCTGGAGCCTGTTTCGGATTCTGTGTCTCCCTCTCTCTCTGACCCTCCCCTGCTCACGCTGTTTCTCTCTCCTAGAAATAAATAAAAAACAAAAAAAAATTAAAAAAAAAATACCTAGTAGAAACCCACACCAAGGTCAGAAATGCTTTAAACACACATACTTTTCAACTCACACATATACATATACACATATATATATAGGTTCTTTTATATTTTAAGAAAAAAAACAGGGCACTTTATGCTTTACCACTTTGAATGGTTATTAATTCCCAAAATACTAAAGTTATTTGTCTCCAAAATAATTTTGAATATGATCTAAGTAATATTGATCTTCAAAGACTCTTCTTACTTGATATGGAATTATCATACGTTCTGATGTTTACTTCTCGCCTGTTTAAGAAAAAAAGCTTCAATTAAAATTGTTTATAGTTAATAGTAAGTAATAGTAATAATACATCAATAATTATAATACAATGCAATACAATACAATACACAAGTGAGAATGCCTGGTATCAAAAAGGCAAAAAAAAATAAGTGTTTGTGAGGATGTGGAGAAAAGGAAACACTTGCACACTGTTGGTAGGAATGTAAACTAGTGCAATCACTGTGGAAAACGGCGTAGATGTTTCTAAAAAACCTAAAAACAGAAGTACCATATCATCCAGTAATTCTACTTTTGGGTATTTATTTGAGGAAAACAAAAACACTAGTTCAAAAAGATATATGAACCACTATGTTTAGTGCAGCTTTATTTATGATAGCTAAGATATGGAAACAACCTAACTGTCCACACATAGATGAATGGTTAAAGATGTAATATATATATAGTCAACCAAAAAATAATTAAATATTTCCATTTGCAGCAACATGGATTGACCTAGAGGGTATTATATGAAGTGAAATAAGTCAGATACAGAAATTTTAAAAATGCTATATAATTTTGCTTATTGTGTGGAATAAAAACATAATGAATACAAAAATAGAAACAAATGCATAAGTACAGAGAACAAGCTGGCGGTTGCCAAAGGGGAAGAGGGTGTTAGGATGAAGAAATTAGGTGAAAAGTATTAAGAAGTGCAAACTTTCCATTATAAAATAAATAACAGGGATGAAATGTATAACAAAAGGAATATAGTAAAAAATATTTTAATACTGTAGCATAGTGACAGATGGTAATTGCATTTATTATGGTGACTACTCTATAATGTATAGACTTGTTGAATCACTATGTTGTACACCTAAAACTAATATAATATTGTATGTCAACTATACTTCAATAACAATGTAACATAAATTTTGGGGTGCATGGGTGGCTCAGTCTGTTGAGTGCCACCTCTCAATTTCAGCTCAGGTCATGATATTGGATTTGTGAGATCAAGCCCCACATCAGGTTCCTCACTGAGTTTGAAGTCTGCTTGGGATTCTCTCTCCCTCTCCCTCTCAGCCCCTTCCCAATTGTGTGTGTACTCTCTCTCTAAAGAAATAAACATTTTATGGGGCGCCTGGGTGGCTTAGTCGGTTAAGCGTCCGACTTTCGCTTAGGTCATGATCTTGCGGTTCGTGGTTTCGAGCCCCGCGTCAGGCTCTGTGCTGACTGCCAGCTCAGAGCCTGGAGCCTATTTCAGAGTCTGTGTCTCCCTCTCTCTCTGACTCTCCCTTCCCTGCTCATGCTGTCTCTCTCTCTCTCTCTCTGTCCTAGAAATAAATAAAAATATTAAAAAAAGAAATAAACATTTTTAAAGTAACATAAATTTTAAAAGATGTCAACATACTATAAACTTCTTATGCATTATTTAATATTTTAATAAATAAACACAATTTGCATTATAAACAATAATATATTATAAAAATAAATATATTATATATTTATGTATCATTTATAACACAATTTGCATTATAAACAATAAATGCATACTAAAATACTTTTTAAATTTATACTATGGATAATGATTATAATAAATACTATTGCTAATAAGCCTTCAATATTAACACTTTAAGGAATTTTTTTATTTAAATATGGTAAACACAATATTACATTAGCTTCAGTTGTACAAAATAGTGAATCAACAAGTTTATACATTGTTATGTTCACAAGTGTAGCCCTATCCATCCCAGTACATTGCTGTTACAACATAACTAACTATATTCCTTATGCTTTGCCTTTTATTCCCATAAGTGTCAATTATCAGCTCTCTGCATTTATAGGTTTGATTCTATTTTTGTTTATTAATTTATTTTTGATATTTCACATATGAGTGAAATTATATGGTATTTGACTCTCTCAGCCTGGTTTATTTCACTTAGCATAACACCCTTAAAGTCCATCCATGCTGTCTAAAATATCTCATCCTTTTGGGGCACCTGGGTGGCTCTCTTGCTGAATCATCTGAGTACAGATCAGGTCATGATCTCATGGTTCATGAGTTCAATCCCCAAGTTGGGCTCTCTGCTGACAACTTAGAGTTTGGAGACTGCTTCAGGTTCTGTGTCTTTTTATCTCTCTGCTCCTCTCCTGCTTTTATTTCGTGTATTCTCTCTCTCTCTCTATCTCTCTCTCTCTCTCTCAAAACTAAATAAACATTAAAAATTGTTTAATAAATAAAATAAAATCCCATCCTTTCTTATGGTTGCATAATATTCCACCGCATGTGTATACAATTTCCTTATCCATTGATCTATTAATGGGAAAGTTAGTGGCTTCCACATCTTGGCTATTGTAAACAATGCATCAATAGGCATAAGGGTGCATATATTTTTGTGAAATATTATCTTTGTTTTCTTTGTGTAAATACCCAGCAGTAAAATTATTTGACCATATGGTATTATAATTTTTAATGTTTTTCAGGAACTTCCATACTATTTTCCGCAATGGCCATACCAGTTTACATTCCCACCCGGAATATAAAAGGAAAAATCCCTTTTTCTCCACATTCTCTCTTGTCAAAACTAAATGTTGCTTCTTGTCTTTTAACCATCTTAAAGTTATAAAATGATTTCTCATTGTGGTTTTGATTTGCATTTCAATGATTATTAGTGATGTTGAGCATCTTTTCATGTGTCTCTTGGGCATCTGAATGTCTTCTTTGAAATATCGGGTAAGGGAAGGAAAAATAAGATAAAAACACATAGGGAGGCAAGCCATAAGAGACTCAAATACAGAGAACACACTGAAGGTTGCTGGAGAGGAGGTGGTTGGAGGGATGGGTTAAATGGGTGATGGGTATTAAGGAGGGCACTTTTTGGATGAGCACTGAGTGTCATATGCAAGAGAAGAATCACTGGTTTCTACTCCTAAAGCCATGACAATACTGTATTATAATTCACTTGAATTTAAATGTTTAAAAAATGGCTATTCAGGTCCCCTCCACATTTTTAAATCAAGTTGCTTGATTTTTTAGTATTGAGTTGTATGTGTTTTTAAATATATTTTTAGTATTAAACCTTTATCAAGTATATCATTTGCAAATTTCTTCTCACATTCAGTAGGCTCCTGTTTTGTTTTGCTGATAGTTTCCTTTGCTGTGACAAATCTTTTTTATTTTGATGAAGTTCCAAAAGTTTACTTTTGCTTTCGTACCCCTTGCTTTAGGAAACATATCTAGAAAAATATTGCTATGATTGATGTAAGAGAAATTATTGCCTGTATTATCTTCTGGGATTGTGATGGTTTCAGGTCTCATATTTAGGTCTTTAATCCATTTTGAGCTATTTTTATGGTTACTGTTAAAAGGTTATCCAGTTTCATTCTTTTACATGTAGCTTTCCAGTTCTCCCAGCAGTATTTATTGAAGAGGTAGTCTTTTGCCTATAGCATATTATGTATATTGTGCCTCTTTATTGAAGGTCTCACTGGGCTCTTCTACTCTTTTCTCCATCATGTTATCTTTATAATCATTACTTTAAATTTGTTATCAGGCATATTGCTTATGCTTAATTCATTTAGTTGTTTTTATGAATTTTTTCTTTCTTTTCTTTTTTCTTCTTTCTTTCTTTCTTTGGGAAAATATTCTTCTGTTTCTCCATTTTTCTTGAATTTCTGTGTTTGTTTCTATGGATTAGGCAGAACAGTGACTTTTTCTAAACTGAAGGAATGGTCCTGTGTATGGTTGTCCTCTATGTAGACTGTGTGGTTGGTGACTTTTCCTGGCTGGCTAAAGCTATGATTGGCATGGACTGAGGGTCTTGGGTATCAAGACATGTAGTGTAGTGGGCATCCTGTCAGGACAACTAAAAGTGAAGTGTATGCAGGCAAGGGTTTCACAGCTTTCTACACACTGAGGTCACCGTAGTAAGAGAGTTAAAGCTGAAATAGGTGTAAGCCATGGTATTCTAGGGCACTCTGTGGAGTCTCGAGGTGCCTGGCAGGGTGGCTAGAGCTGATGTAGTGTGTAGTCAGGAGGTCCTGAGCTCTTCATGCAAAGGATGAAAGGTGCAAAGCCCTACCAGAACAGCTGAAACTAAAATGGGTACAAGTGAAGCTAACTGGGGCTCTAAAAACAAAATGACCTTGGGAGGATACCTGAAAACCAGAATCCAACCCATATACCCCAGGCATGGAGGGACCCACACAAGGAAGACAAATTGCCATAACATTTGGTGTGCATGAATCCCACAAAAGACACAATGACTCTAAACCCACATATTTCAATAATAACACTGAATGTAAATGGGCTGAATGTTCCAATCAAAAGACATAGGGTAGCAGAATGAATAAAAAAACAAAATCTATCTATTCGCTGTCTACAAGAACGAATTTTACACTGGAAGATACCTTCAGATTAAAAGTAAGGGGATGGAGAAATATATATCATACTACTGGAAGTCAAAAGAAAGCTGGAATAGCTATAAGTATATGAGACAAACTGGACTTTAAATTAAAGACAATAACAAGGGATGAATAAGGGCACTATATAACAATTACAGGGCCTATCAATCAGGAAGAACTAACAATTATAAATGTCTACACACCGAATATTGGAGCACCTAAATATTTAAAACAATTAATCACAAACAGAAACAATCTAATAGATAAGAATGTGCTAATAGCAGGGACTTTTCATACTCTGCTTACAGCAATGGATAGGTCAACCAGACAGAAAATCACTAAAGAAACAGTGGAATTGAATGACACAGTGGACCAGATGGATCTGACAGATATATTTAGAACTCTACATCCTGAGGCTATGGAATTCACTTTCTTCTCAAGTGCGCATGGCACATTCTCCAAGATAGATCACATACTGGGACATAAAGCAACCCTCAATAAATATAAAATAATTGAGATCATACCATGCATACTCTCAGATCATAATGCTTTGAAAGTTGAAATCAATCCCAGGAAAAGTCTGGAAAACCTCCAAACACACCCCGAATAGCCAAAGTAATACTGAAAAATAAAACCAAAACGGGAGGTATCACCATCCCAGACTTTAGCCTCTACTACAAAGCTATCATCATCAAGACAGTATGGTATTGGCACAAAAATAGACACATAGACCAATGAAATAGAATTGAGAACTCAGAACTGGACCCAAAGTATACAGCCAACTAATCTTTGACAAAGGAGGAAAGAGTATCCAATGGAAAAAAACAGCCTCTTTAACAGGTGGTGCTGGGAGAACTGAACAGCAACATGCAGAAGAATGAAACTAGAACATTTTTCACACCAGTGAGAAAAATAAACTCAAAATGGATAAAGGACCTGAACGTGAGACAGGAATCCATCAAAACCCTAGAGGAGAAAGCAGGAAACAACCTCCTTGACCTCCACCGCAGCAATTTCTTACTTGACACATCCCCAAAAGCAAAAGAATCAAGAGCAAAAATAAACGATATCGGGACCTCATCAAGATTAAAAGCTTCTGCACAGCAAAGGAAACAACCCACAAAACTAATAGGCAACCAACAGAATGGGAAAAGATAGTTGCAAATGACATATCAGATAACGGGTTAATATCCAAAATCTATAAGGAACTCACCAAACTCCACACCAGAAAAACAGCCAACCCAGTGAAGAAATTGGCAGAAGATATGAACAGACACTTCTCCGAAGAGGACATCCAGATGGCCAACAGACACATGAAATGATTCTCAGCCTCCCTCCTCATCAGGGAAATACAAATCAAAACCACACTGAGATACCATCTCACACCGGTCAGAGTGGTTTAAATGAGCAAATCAGAGATCTCTAGATGCTGGCGAGGATGTGGAGAAACGGGCACCCTCCTAAACTGTTGGTGGGCATGGAAACTGATGCAGCCCCTCTGTAAAACAGTGTGGAGGTTCCTCAAAGAATTAACAATAGGCTATGTCCCAGAAATAACACTGCTGGGAATTTACCCAAGCAGTATATGAGTGCTGATGCATAGGAGCACATGTACCCCATTATTCATGGCAGCACTCTCAACAATAGCCAAAACACGGAAAGTGCCTAAGTGTCCATCAACGGATAAATGGATCAAGAAGATGTGGTTTATCTGTAGGATGGAATACTACATGGCAATGAGAAACAATGAAATCTGGCCATGTGTAGCGACATAGATGGTCCTTGAGGGTATTATGCTGAGCCAAATAAGTCAGGCACAGAAGGACAAACACCACATGTTTGCACTTATAGGGAGATTAGGAGGAACTTAACGGAGGACGTGGGGGAGAAGAAGGGGGGAAATACTGGGGGAGTGGGAGAGAGGCAAACCATGAGAGACTCTTGAATGCTGAGAACAAATTGAGGACTGATGGTTGTGGCGGGGGAGGGGGGAGATGGGCATGGAGGACGGCACTTGTGGAGATGTGTACAGGGTTATATGGAAACCAACTTGACAATAAACTATTTAAGAAAAAAAAAAGACCTGGCAAGTTCCATTTCCTTCTCCCACACCCTAATTTAGATACAAGGACAACAGCATAAACCATTAGGGTACATAGTCTCTCCACTTCATTTGCTAATAGTGTATCCCAACCCTGTGTGCTCCTGCCGAAACATCCCTGCCTTCTAAGTTTCACAAGGAGTTTTTTCAGGTAGATGCGGCCCCCACCTCTAGCAGCAAAGGTGTGCAGGACTTGTTCGCAATGTGCTTCTAGACCCCATGTTCTCCTGTGTACCTTCTGCTTCCAATATACCATTGCCCAAAGCCCATCCAATGCAGTGTCAAAAGTAGCCTCAATAGGAGCCACCATCTCTCAAAAGTGATTTCTGGTCTGTCACGAGGGGAAGATAATTACACAGGCAAATCCAACGGTGATTCAAGAAGTGGGCTGGGAACAGACATCAGGTCTGACTGAAGCCACCAATGCCCCCCCTTTTCAGGTAATATCTTCTTTATTTTTACTAATGTTTGTCTGCCTGACCTATTAGCATTTTAGAGAGTACTGTAGTGTTTATTTATCAATTTTTCTTTGTAGTTCTGTCAACTTTTGATTTATATAATTTTGGGGGGGCAAGTGGAGAAAAAGGAATCCTCATGCACAGTTGTTGGGAAGCCAATGGTGCAGCAACTGTGGAGGACAGTATGGAGTTTCCTCAAAAATTAAAATAGAATTACCGCGTGATCCAGTAAATCTACTACTGGATATTTTCTCAAAGACTATAAAAGCAGTATTTCTAAAAGATATATACACCCTTATGTTTATTAAAATATTATTTACAATAACCAAATTATGGAAGCAATCCAAGTGTCCATTGATGGATGTAGAAATAAAGGATATATGATACATATCTTCAGTGGAATATTACTTCGCGATCAAAAAAAAAGAAATGTCAGCATTTGCAACAGCATTCATAGATCTGGAGGGTATTATGTTAAGTGAAGTAAGACAGTCAATAAAAGAGAAATACAATATGATCTCATTCATAAGTGAAATTTAAGACACAAAACCAATTAATAAGCAAAAAAGAGATAAATCAAAAAGCAGACACTTAACTATAGAGAAGAAACTAATGGTTACCAAACTGGAGGTGGTTGGGGGAATGAATTAAATAAGCTATGGGGGATTAAGAATATGCCTATCATGATGAGCACTGTTAATGTATAGAATTATTGAATCACTATATTATACACTGGATACTAATGTAACATCGTATATTAACTATACTGGAATTAAAATTAAAAAATAACTTGTGGGGATGAGCACTGGGCGTTATATGGAAACCAACTTGTCAATAAACTATTTGTAAAATAAAAAAATAAAATTGAAAAATAAATATTTAAAATAATTAAAGTTACATGGTTAGGAATCTTAAAATGATAAAATAAAATACGAGACAAAAATTGTTTCAGTGGATTATAGAAAAAATACCTAAAATAAAAGAACACATTAAGGTTAATGTTTTAAATGGAGAAGAGATACTGTGTACACACTAAAGGATAGTAAGCTAATAAAGCCATACTAATGTCAAACAAAGTTAAGTTTAACATAAATAAAGATAAGTGTAACATTTTATAATGCTAAATGGTCCAATCTCAGGAAAATGAAACAAGTCTAAATTTGCATGTAGTCACTTGCCTAGCTATAAAATACGTAAGCAAATATTTATACAACTAAAAGAAATATGCAAACTCACAATTACAGGTGCAATCTTTAGTACATGTGTTTTAGTAACTAACAATTCAATTAGATAAAATATATCAATAGAGATATAGAAAATTTGAATAACAATATTAACAAAATGACATATGAAAACACTACACCAAACAATTACACAATACACATTCTTTTCAAGATCACATGGAATATTTAACAAAACAGCCTACTCAGACTGGACTATAAATTAAGTTTCAACAAGTATCAAAGTACTGAAATTATATGGTATATATTTGCTAACCACAGTTGAATAAAGCTAGAAATCAATAACAAAAAGAAAATTTAGAAAAATCTAAACATTTGGAAATTAATAGTATAATATATGGGTTAAAGAGTAAATTTCAATCGAAATTAGAAAATATTTTAAAATAGATTATGTATATCATAAAGAAAAATGTGAGTTAAATATGAATGGATGCAAAGAATTACTAAGTATTTTATAGCTTTATTCATATATCATAAAATAAGAGATGCTGAAAATAAATATTTTACATATCCGTCTCAAGAAGCTAGACACAGAACACACTGAAGTCAATATATGTAGGAAGAAAAAAAATAAAGATAATGGGGGCACCTCGGTGGCTTAGTCAGTTAAGCATTTGACTTTTGATTTCAGCTCAGGTCATGATCTTATGGTTCATGAGATTGAGCCCTGTGTTGAGCACTGCTCTGACAGCGTGGAGCCTGCTTGCAATTCTCTCTCTCCTTTTTCTCTACCCCTCTCCCACTTTCTTTCTCACAAAATACATTAATAAACATTAAAAAAATAAAGACAACAGAGGTGAAAAGAAAACAAAAGCTTTATGCATGTAAATTTGAAAGTTTAGATGAAATAGGAAAGTTCCTTTAAAACGAACACATATTAAAGCTGAAATAGAAAAATCAGAATTATTGTATGTATACTAAACATGTTAGCGTGATAATTAAAAACTTACCGATATAGAGAATTCCAGGTCTGGATGTCTTCATTGATCAATTCTCCCAAAAACCTAAGGAAGAAATAATAACAATTATTCACAAACTCTTCCAAAGTCTAGGAATGAACATGGTTCATGAGTTCAAGCCCCACATTGGGCTCTGCACTGGTGGTGTGGAGCCTGCTTGGGATTTTCTCTCTCCATTTCTGCCCCTCCCCTGTTCATGTTCTCTCTCTCTATCTCTAAAAATAAATAATAAATAAATAAACTTACAAAAAAATACCTAACATTCATTTGTGGTAAAATTTTTTTATCAAACAAGAAATAGAAGGAAACTTCTTTAGTCTGGTAAAAAAAAAAAAAATCTACAGGAAATTAGAACAAATGTAGTATTCAATGGTGACGTGAAAGCATTCCTCTTAAACTGAGGAATAAGAAAGATGTCCAGTAGTAAACTTTCATCTGACTTTGTAATAGAGGTCCTAGCCTGTGCAACAAAGCAAGAAAAATAAATTAGAAGTCTAAAAATAGTAAAAGGATAAATAAAATTGTTATTATTTGCAGCAAGCACAACTGTTTACGTAGAAAATACAAGATGTTTCAGACATACAATCAGAATTAATAGATGAAGTTAGTGAAATTGTTAGATTCTGAAACTGTGAAAATCAGTTATATTTCTATACACAACAATATTATTAGAAAATACACCATTTATATGATAACATCATAAATACCAAGCACTTAGGAATAAATCTAAAACTATATCTGCCATATGTCTATACTGATTGGTGTAAACCAATAGTAAGGTAAATTAAATTAAATAAAACATAAATAAGTGGACATATATACCATGTTCAGGAATTGAAAGATTCAATATTATTATATGTATAACACAGCTTCCCACATTGATATATTCATTGACTATAATCTCAATAGCATTTTTTACACTTTTGATAACTGATAGTTGATTCTAAATTTTACATGAAAATAAAAGAATCAAGAATATCCAAGACAATTTTTTAAAAAAAGGAAAGACAGGGGTGCCTGGGTGGCTTGGTTGGTTAAGCGTCCGACTTTCGCTTAGGTCATGATCTCACGGTTCGTGGGTTCGAGCCCCGCGTCAGGCTCTGTGCTGACTGCCAGCTCAGAGCCTGGAGCCTGTTTCAGTCTGTGACTCCCTCTCTCTCTGACCCTCCCCTGCTCACGCTGTCTCTCTCTCTGTCTCCTAGAAATAAATAAACATTTGAAAAAAAATAAAATAAAAAATGGAAAGACATATATTGCCAAATATTAATATATCAATTTATGATAATATGACAAAAGTTAAGACAATGTAGAGTTGACACAAAAACAAATAACTGTTGAAACAGAATACAAACTATAAAAAGCGGTCTATAAAGATATGGTCACATGAGTTATCCCAAAATTGTTATGCATTGGGGAAAGAGTATTTTCAACAAATGGTACTAGTCAACTTGATATCTTGATATTTTCCAAGAGGAAAAGATGTGATTATTGATTTTTATTTCACATTACACACCAAAATTAGTCCTAGATCTATTACAGACATAAAGTTAAAAAATAAAACAAAATATTTTCAGAAGTAACATAGGAGAATATTTTAATAACAGTGTAGTATTTCTTAAACAGGGCATAAAAATGTATAATCATAATGGAATAGAATGACATGGTAAGCTTCTGTTATCCAATGAAAATTAACTGTTCCACTCTTTCTTTTTCCAAAAATGGAAATGAAAAGAAAAATAGTGGATAAAAGACATAATTCTTCTTCGAACATCATAATGATATATTTTGAAAGAAATGGTAGTGTCATAACAATATTAATAACAATAATAACTAATATATTTATTGTGATTTTGTAGTGCTTTATAGTGATTAAAATGCACTTTCAAGTGTAGTATATATTTTAATATAATACACTATTTTAATTTGTTTTATTTCTTCTGGAGTGAAAACCTGTTCTCCAAATTATTTTTTTGTCTCCATTTATATATCCTTTACCACAAATCTTCTTTTAATACACATAACTTCTGTCTAACTGTTTTCCTCTACTTCTGTTTAATTCATTAATTTTCTTGAAATTCTATTCCCTGATAATTGAGTGAGTCAATTCTTCAAATTTGAATAAGAAATTATTACATGATTTTCATTCCTTTATACATTCAACTAATAAATATTGAGCACTGTGTAAGGCTGATACATAATCTCACAAAATATCCATATATGAAACCCTGGAACCAATGAATGTTATCATATATTAAAAACAGGAACTACATATATATGGTTAAGAATCTTGAAATCAGGAAATTATTCTGGATTATCCAGAAGGTCAATAAATGTATTCAACATAGTTCTTATAAGAGAAAAACCAGAAAGCTAGAGGATGATAAGGCAATCTGGTGATAAAAACAGAGACTGTAATTATTCCCTTTGAAAAAAAGGAAAGGGGACACAAGCCAAAGAACTCAGGTGGTTACTAGAAGCTAAAACTATGCCAGAAAATTGGTTTTCTCTTCAAAGCCAACCTTGAAGATACCTTGATTTTATCCTAGTAAAACTGATTTCAGACTTATAACCTCCAGGAATGTAAGCAAAGATGTTTGTATTATTTAGCCCACTGAGTTTGTGGTATGTTTCCACAGCAGTAATAATTAATACAAATCGTGGTACCCGTAGTGGGTGTGGGTGCTGCTGTAACAAATACCTAACAATGTGGAAGTGAATTTAGAATTGGAATATGGGCAAAGGTTAAAGAGATTTATATTGCCTTGAGAAACCTGTTAGTTGACATATAAATGTTAAAGATTCTCTGATGGACTCTGGAGGAAGTGAGGAATATGATAGGAGAAGACTATCATCTTAAAGAATACTTAAATTGTAATAAAGAGACTATTGGTAAAATATGGACATTAAAATTGTAAATAAACACTCAGAAGGAAGTGGGGGGCACAATAGAGAAAACCTATATCATCTTAGAGAATACTTATATAGTCACAAATAGAATTTTGGTTGAAATATGAACATTAGGGATGCCTGGGTGTCTCAGTCAGTTAAGCATCTGACTCTTGATCTCATCTCAGGTCATGATCTAACGGTTCATGAGATCAAGCCCTATATTGGGCTATGAGCTGACAGCACGGAACCTGGTTGAGATTCTCTCTCTCCCTCTTATTCTCTCCCCTGATCAATGTCTCTCAAAAGAAACAACCTTTGAAAAAAAAGTAAGGAAATTAAAACTTCAAGGCAGTAAAATAATTACATCTATAAAAAACAGTCAAGTAATCACAAAATAAATTGATGCAAAGTAAAATATCATATACATAAACTGTGTGTGGGAAGAATAAAAATTTAATACTTTTAGAATGGAATGGGTTCCACTTAGGTAACCATCAATTTAATATAGACGTTATATGTATGAGAAGTTATATATGAGCTAATGGTAACCACAAATGAAAAACCTGTTAGATATTAAAAAAAAAAGAAGAAAAAAAAAATCCAAACGTATTACTTAAGAAAATCACCAAAAGAAAAGAATTAGAGAAGAAAGGAACAGAGAAAAATACAAAAACAAATATAAAATAACAAAATTGAAATAACTACACATTTATTGGTAATCACTTTGATTGTAAATGTCCTAAATGTTCCAAACAAAAGACACAGGCTGAATGAAAGGATAAAAATGCAAGAACCATCTATATGGTACCCAGAAGAGACCCACTTCTGACCTAAAGACACATACAGATTGAAAATGAAAAAAATGGAAGAACCCTTATCATGCAAATGGAAATAAAAAGAAAAATGCATAGGAATACTTGCATAGGACAAAATTGACTTTTAAACAAACACTGTAACAAGAGACAAAGAAGGACACAACATAGTGATACAGCCAAAAATCCAAGAAGCAGATATAACAATTTGAAATATTTATGCACCGAAAATGGGTGCACCTATATATATAAAACAATTGTTAGCAGACATAAAGGAAGAAATTGACTATAATAAGGTAATAGTATGGAATCTTAAAACACTTTTACAGGAATAAATAGATCATCCAGGCAGAAAATCTACAAGGAAACAGTGGCTTTAAATGGTACATTGGGCCAGATAGACCTAACAGATTCAGAATATTCTACTCAATGTGTGTAGTGCATATTATTTTCAAGGGCACATGGAACATTCTTCCAAATAAATCAGATGTTATACCACAAAACAAGTCTCAATAAATTAAAAAACAAAGGCTGAAATCATACCAGGCATCTTTTCTGACCACAAAGTTATGAAACTAGAAATCAATCACAAGAAAAAAAATGGAAAAAGCACAAATACATGGAGGCTATATAACATAAACATTGAATGGGTCAACCAAGAGATCAAAGAGGAAATAAAAAAAATGCATGAAGACAACGAAGATGAAAACAAAACAGTAAAATAATTGAGGGATTGAAGCAACAGTCCTTCCAAGAGGGAAGTTACAGCAATACAGGCCTACCTCAAGTACTAAGAAAAATCTCAAGTAAACAACCTAACCTTAAACCTAACGAAACTAGAAGAAGAACAAAGTCCAAAGCCACTAGAAGAAAGGAAATAACAATGATTAGAGTAGAAATAAATGAATAGAGACTAAAAAAATAGAACAGATAAATTAAACAAATACCGTTTCTTTGAAACAAGGTTTATCAACAAAATGGACAAACCTTAAGCTAGACTCAACAAGAAAAAATGAGGGAGGACTCAAATAAATATAATCAGAAATGAAGTAAGAGAAATAACAACTAACGCCACAAAAATATGATGGATTATAAAAGAAAATTATGAAACAGTATAATGGGATCAAATTGGACACCCTAAAAGAAATTGATAAGTTCCTAGAAACATAACTTTCTGAAAGTGAATCAGTAAGTAATAGAAAATTTAAATAGACTGATTACTAGCAATGAAATTGAATCATTAAAAAAATTTAAAAAACAATCCCAAAAAACAAGTGCAGAACTGATGGATTCACAGTAAATTCTACCAAACATTTTAAAAAGAGTTAATACCAATGCTTCTCA